AAATAAAGCTATTCTTTTCACGTCTTCATCCACATTCCAGTCTACTATGTCCATACTCAGCCTGTATAAGGGAACCTTTGTCCTTTTTATTACATTTTAAATATTCTATAAAAACACCTGTTCTTATTTTGTACTATGAAAAATCATTGTATTTAAATAGTTCATAGCCTCTAAATTTTGTGCTTGTCATGGTGTTACTATTATTATAAGAGTTTGCTATGAAAACAAGTTGATTGACTTAAGGCGAACAGTGTGTGTTGGCCTCTTTATTCACCCCTTGCCCAATAACGAATTCGATTTTAGAATCGTCACTGGACAAGGAGAGAGAAAGACACTGACGCCCACTCGAATTTTTGTTATTGTATTATAGGAAGTAGTGATAAGCCGGAGACTTGGCGTGGGCGACGAATACCTCTTTAATGCCTCTTTAAAAATTTTTCGCGTGGGTTTTGAACAATAGACTTCCTTCATCCTAGTTGCTGATAACGTGAGAGTGCCAACACAAAGTGGGTGGGTTTTAGAGTCAGTTTTTTAAAATTAAGATTATTTTAAACACAACAGTGGTTTCGAAGACAACAATACTTTATTAACCTGCTCGCGTTCGTACACGTCTCGTTTTTTTTTTGTTTTTTTTTTTTGCAGCCGTCCTTAACACAAAGAGCCTTGATAATGGAGAGTATTGTTCATTCAGATAGTAGTGCCATATTATGTATATACCCAACCAACAGTTCATCACTATAATTATAATAATACGTAAATGATTAGTTTTTACTTTTTTCGTTTTGAGAAAACAATTGGAAATCACTCTTTTATAGTACAATTACCTGAATTATAAAAGTGAAATAATCTTATGCATTTTGAGTAAATTACTATAATCTTGTGAATTTTTAGTTTGCATTATTCAAATTAAAAAAGAAGGAAATCTTGTCAGAGCCAAAATACTTGAAGTTTTACTTTCAGTTGTGCTTATATATTTCACAGTCATATTTGACAATTTTGACAATTTGAACGCGGGCTGGACACCATCTATTTAAAGGAAACACAACTGCAATTATAACTTAAACTAAAAAGACTTATAATTGTATCGAGTTTTCCAATAAAATCACCTCCTTTTTTATTTTAAATACTCATACTTATCACTGAATGTCAAAATTCTCGTTACATCCTACAGTATATTTGTAAGACATCCTAAATATATCATATGTTAGATTGTTATTGTACCTTTGGAATTTGAATAATAAATAAATAAATTTCTTTTGGTACACTGTAGTATAGAAGCGTGGGCTATCGACGTCAGTTATTTCTTCATGTTTACATGTTAAAAAATGAGATGTGCTCTTCATCTTTGATGGCAATCAGAATGAAAAAAATGTCTTTGAGTCCCCTTGTTCTCACGTTAAACTCCCCCAGCTGCTCATGAGTGACTTGCCTATCTTTAGATACTCGTTGTCAAGAACAGATGTAACGAAAATATTTACTTTCACAACCCATATATTTACATTGCATTAGTTTAACGGCTAGTAATGACACATTACTGGGTACCACTAGCACACTCGGGGACAGGACACTATGCTCAAATACTGAGAAAGATATAGTGGGATATTTATGTTTTTTCTCCATTTCGCAAGATGATTTATGTTGACGTTTCACCAGTGATAAGCACATAGCCACTTCAATACCCACTTAGTTCAAGATAATCATTTACACATGTATGTATAGACTAACATTACACATTTAATTTCATGCTTTAGCCGAGGAAACGCGTAAAATAACATGGCTAAACGGAAAAGCTTATGCACGG